GTCCAAGGATACATCACAGGAATGCCGAAATCCAAAAATTTTAGAACAGAATCAGCGAACTTCTTTGTGTGAACCCGGATGGCAGCCATGATTGTTTTTATAATTAGAGAACGCTTACGTGCGTAATCATTCCATATTTGGAATTCGCATTTCCTTATATGGTAGGATGAAAATACCCAGTAAAATATCGCAAAATTACGACACGCTGTAACTTACATGTATGGCGTTACGGTAACAGATGTGAAATATTATATGGCATATTGTACATAATTCGTCAGAAAGTTTCAAAAGTGCATATGTTGATTGTTACAAATGGATTGTTGATCATGAGCCATTATGTTTATTTATGGCTCACAACATGAAAACAAATATTCAGGTTTTTTTCCCTTCCTATTCAAACCTTCCACTTAGTATATGTTGTTTGATCAGCCTGAAGGAACAATCATTATACTAATGGTGGTTTGTTCTGACAAACTGTTTCTTTTCATCAGTCAGGGGTTCACTTCATTAAGAGGCGGCAGCAATAGGAGACCTAATACCTCTCCACTTGCTATGACTGCCTACATTATGGTTTTATACTATCAATATCCGACCACCTACATTTGTACTAAACATTAATGACAACTATATCTACATATGTATGCGATGCATATAATGTTGTTGAGTCTGATAGATAAAAATTATCGGAAATATTGCTGTAGGCAACATTTGTTGAAAATCTGTACTTGAGTGTATATGTCTAGCAGTTTATATTTATATTCCAAATTCTGATTGATTGTACCCCCAGTACTCATTGTTTGTGTTTCATTTAGGAATGAACTATTTCCTAATTTGAGGTTGAGTTGAATAGACTGACTACCACAACACACACCCCATGCCCCAAGTTTTTATTCAGGATTCATAATTTAATCATTTGGCATAAAATATAAATGATTTATTTTAGTTTCAGCACATGTGTCAGTTCAAAAATGGCTGCTCACAACTTTTTTTTTCTGGTTTCTGCCAAAATACTGTAAAATGAAAGAAAATTTGTTTTTTCACTCCTTAAACAATAGCAATCAATTACTACAAGTTCATTAGGTAATAAAAATGAAACATGAACCACAGGCATGTGGCAAAAAGTGCCAAACAGAGCCCCTTCAGGAAATTGGCCAGTTGATCACATGACTGGAAATAATGTCATAGTTAATAAATGACCATGAACTTCAGTAACAAAAATTAGAATGAAATTTGATGAACTGTCATTTAGAATCAAAATCCATGACGCAAAACTCACAAAGTTAAGAACTGAAATGAAATGAAAATCCTTTGTTACTATGAATGTGTGCACTTGTTCTTTGAATAAGAACGCACACAAATGGAGACTTGCGGATGAGCTCAGTAAAGAAGCATATAGATCACAACAATGTGTAATTTTGAATTTTTGATTGCACCTAAATTATTCTGAACTCTATATATACCGGTATATATATATTCTTTTGTTTAGGAAGGTAGTCGATTATTCCAGGTGAGAGTGCTCGATACTAAACGATGAGTTTGTAGAGCAGATTTACATATGTGGACAGAGAAATTAAGACACGACTACATGAGTAAAGTTCACTCTACAGTACTGTTTCGTAAGGTACATAGAGTACCTCACTCATCAGGAGTTAAGACTTTATTAAATAAACTATCGAAACAGACTACGTTATAAGCGCTACAGATTTGCATAACAATGGAATGTGTTTACGATATTAAAACTAGTTGTTGCATAGCAACGATTTGGCTCTGTGTCTACAGGAAGAAAAAAGCTCATTTCTTTTATTTAAACTACAGTAATGTGGTTGGAAAATTATAATATATTTCTCTCTAATACATAAGTTGCAACGTTTGCTTGAAGTATTGTATGGTGCAGCACGCGATAACACTCCATTTGATGTCGTAATCGATGTTATTGTCTTTTAATGACCAAGCGTATTTACTGAGCTCTGTTGCGTTTCTCAATGATTGGTTGCGTAGCGATGCAGTGTGGTTTCTGTACCGGGTTTTAAATTCATTTCCTGTTAGTCCCACATATGTTTCACACTTTTGTTTATATATATTCTTTCGGGAAAACAAGAGTACTCATGTTTTTTTTTAATATCCGTCTTGGACGTAACTTGGATTTCACAGCATTATTTGTTGGAAGTTATCATACTTTTTCTACAAAGCTCCATTGGAACAACACTTTCATGTGTGTGAAA